CTGATCTACCAATTGATATATCAATAAAGATTCGAAGTTTTAGTTTTGAATAATTTTTGGGCTTTTTAACTATTCTCGAACAAAAATTCTAAGCTCTTATTCGAAAAGAGCATTCTAATTCATAGCTTTTGACTCGTAGAAAATAGTTTCCAGCAGATCAAAAGTGAAGAAACATTTTATTCCTACCTATTTTGAATACAATGTTTGTTTCATTTGGAGCTGAAATTCTGAGGGTCAAAACTTCTGAATACAAACTTGTATTAATGGTGGTTGTCTATTATAGCAAAGAAATCTATTTTCTCAATAATGAAAACAATATTTCTTAAAACTAATAGATAATTTCTTTCTTAATCATGCGATGAATCAAATCAAAAAAAAAGAATCGAATAAATATTGCGACAATCGAGAATTTATGCGTTGAGTGCATATCAATTGTTACAGGTCTTTTAATAAATTTTTAAACTCTAATTTCCTTTATTTAATAGACATTAGCATACAAATCTGGCTTTGTTGAATTTGCTCGTTCAATTCGTGAACAAATCGATCAAATGGTTCTATCTGGTCAATTGAATACTGGTCAAGGAACACAAAATGAAGCACTTAAATGTATACAAATCGTATCGACTGGTAAAAATGTTTCATTATCAGAGAACGATGAAGGTAGAAGAAAAAAAAAACAAGAAGAAAGAAGTTCTTCAAATAAAAATTATCCGTTCTTTTATTTTTATTTTTTCTAGTTGCTCGTGAAGAAAAAGCATTGGGTATAATGGCACAAAAATTTCTTATGCTTTTTCTTACATCTGATGTAAGTTAAAAATTCAGTTTTAGTTTTTTCTTTTATTTGATTTTGAATTATTTATATAAATTAATATAAAAATAATTTTAAAAACAAAGGATCGAATTGTCAATATTATCTTTGCGGCTAAAGTTTTATTGGGTGATTCGAAAAATGAAATAACTGAATTTGGTCGTTATAAGAGTAATCATATTTTTAAATATAGTTTATTTTGCATATGTGTTGACTATTAGAATTTCTTTATTGTTTTTTTTTTTTTTTTCTATTTTGATTATAATTATTTATTTTGTTAATAGCAAAAGTTAGACGATTATATGATATTGCAAATGTTTTATCAACAATTAGTTTAATAACAAAAGTAACAGATCCAAGTTATCGTGGTCCTCGACCTGCATTTCAATATATTGGACCTCGAACTGAAATTATACATCACGCAGAAAGTAAGATTATTTTACATATATATGTGAAATGATTGTTTTATTTTTAAAAAAATTTAGATGTTGTTGATTTTATTAATTCTGAAAATACAAAATCAAATTCAAAACATTCATTATTTGATCATTTTAAACGAAATCTTTTTCTTAATTGTACGATTCCAAGATTTGATCCAAGAAATGGTTTACTTGGTCTAAAAAGTGCATTAGATATGAATGGTCGAAGTAGTTCAGGTGTTACAGTTACTGGAGTTTATTCAAATAATGTTGGTGGAGGTAAGACTTCTGATGAAATGGATTCTATTCTAAAAGAAATATAATCAGAAATCTCAGATAGAAATTTATCAGTAAGGGTAGAGCTTGAAGCGTATGTTGTTGGTTTTGAATCTGCTCGAATATGAAAACTTCCTGCTAATTGGATCCTTATCCTGGTTCGGATCCGAAAATTTCTATTAACTGAATCCGAATCATATTCGATAATTTTGCATCCGATGGACTCTGTTAAAGATTCTATAGAACAAGGTCATGGTTTGAAATTTTTTCTCAGCTTGAGTAAGACAAAAAATTTACCGTGCACATCTATACTCCGAGATAATGAAATATTTTATTATTGTGAGTATCATTGATCTGAAAACAAACATATAACAAGTTAAATGAAAATATCTCGCTAACGCCTTTTATATGATTTATTGAAATCAAAATCAAATGAAAAGAAAAAAAAAGATTTCTTGCATTAATCAAGCTATCGTGCTGTTTATATAATATTGGGTTGATGCAAAATTAACGACCGTTTTCATTGATTCTAAATTTATTCAACAATACAATACCAAAGTACACTCAAAACATGTTTAAATGATCATTCTAGAGCATAGTCGCCATCTACTTCAATAACTGCTTCCCATTTGCTTGGCAAACGATCGATTCCACGTGCAGAAAAGTGACGATCCTTGGATGCAATCCACGCTTTGACGTCAGCGACAAAGGATGGGAACTGCTTGAGCACCCACCAGATTCTCCTACTGAAGCTCCTACAGACTATCACGTCAATCGTCCGCTCAAAAATCGGCAGACGGGCAAAGTCTACGATGATTTTGACGATCTTGTCGCTGACGTCAAAGCGTGGATTGCATCCAAGAATCGTCACCGTTTTGCACGTGGAATCGATCGTTTGCCAAGCAAATGGGAAGCAGTTATTGAAGTAAATGGCGACTATGCTCCAGAATGATCATTTAAACATGTTTTGAGTGTACTTTGGTGTTGTATTGTTGAATAAATTTAGAATTAATGAAAACGGTCGTTAATTTTGCATCAACCCAATATTACTGAATAGAGTCCATGTTGACCTAAAGCGAAATATTGAATATACACCTGAAATCAAATGATTAATTTTATTTGATTGTATCTACATAGTAAATGTTAATTTGTCGTTCGATCTAAATTTAGTATTTTAATTAATGTGAAAATATATATTTATATGAAATAAATGATCAAAAGTAATTAAAGATAGTGACAGAACCAGAAAAAAATATATATACAGCCTTCTCACGAGAACAAATATGTGTTTTTAATATTTCAAATCTAAATTACTGATTTATTTTGCAATAAATTGTACTTCAGATGATGATATTCAACATCCAACTAGTAGTGAAAATTCACTAACAACACAACATTCAACATCCTATATTCCTGAATCAAGTAAAATCAAATTCTATATTAAATACCCATTAAAAAAAAGAATTTTTTGCATCTAGAAAAAAGAAAATTTTCAAAATGTAACGATATTGATAATCAATATAGAAATATTCTTGTTCCATCGATTGGATGTAAAATTTTATTATTGTTTTGTTTTTTTGGCAGTAATACTAATTACCTACTCTGCATGTTGTTTTTTTAGTTGGTAATACATCATCAGTAAATCCTATACCACAAACATCTAATCCTACTTATCTTCAATTTACTCCACATGATTCATCAACTACATTTAGTAATATCATTAATCTTTTATTATCATTCGAACATATATATATATATATATTCATTTAATTAGATTCTTCAAATCTTCTAACATATAATTCTCATCAAACATGGTCATCAAATGATGATAATTCAAATAGTTCATTAATAAATAAAACAACACGACGTCGTAATCAAACAATCAATAATAATATTCCAAAACGACCTGTTGGTAGACCACCAAAAAAACTTCAACAACAAAAAACTGATGAAATACTTATTCAACCATCAGAATCAAACTCATTAATTGAACAAACAACATCAATTAGAAATGTACTTCTATACACGTTTTTTTTCTTCTTTCAAAAATAAAGAATCTCGATTATTGTTTTCTTTTCTTTTTCATTGAAGTCTGATCAACAATCAACAATAAAATGTCATCCACAAGATTTACAAGATATTAATGTTGATATATTAACATATCAAATGCGTAGTGTTCTACCATCGATAAGTAATTCGATAAATTTAACAAATTCATTATTCAAACAAGAAGATATATTATCACCAATAAATACATATCATTATGATAATGATGATCTTATTGAAACAAATACTCTTCCAAGTATTAATTCATTTATGAACAAAAAATATCTTCTTTAAAAATAATAACTCAACATATTTTGTCTTTGCTTCATTGACAATTATTGAGTAATATGAGATGCTTCTTTTTTTTTTTTTTTCTCTTTTCTTTTTCTTTTCTATTATAATGCCTTTGGGCTCGATATATATTCATTGATTGTGGGTATGTGTTTCTTGTTATCCCATCTTTCGTCTTAGCATTTATCGAAGCTATAACAATTCTTTCATTATATACATAGATATGCATATATGTATGATCTTGCTGTTTTTTTGCGGTTTTTCTTTTTTGTCATCAATAACGACAATATCAACTTAGAAGAAAAAAGAAAGGTTTTTCTTTCCTTCGTTTTTCTGTTTATTTCTCTATATTTTTCTTCCGTTGTGTTTTCTTTCTACATGTCGCACCAATGATCACTGTACCCCAAGTAGAAGAAAGATAATAATGGTAGCTACTAACACACATCAGTAAATACGATAACAAGAACCAAAAGATACTTCGTTTATTGTTTTGTTACTATCAGAATAGAAAATGATAAATTATTTGTTCATATTCGAGAAATGCATGAATGACCTTTAATTGAAGCATGTAATTAAATTGTCAACAGAATTATTTTTAACAACTGCTTCTTATTTTTTAAATGAGAAAACAACGATGATTACAAATTATTTATAGTTAAACATAGCTGAATCAAGATTATTTTCTCGAATATTTCCATCGTATTTCATTATTTCAATTATTAACAATTATTCTTATTTTCAACGAAAAATATGAATAAATATCATTATTATTTGTTCTATTTATTTATGAATGCATAAGTAGTTTTATTTAACTTCTATTTTAATGGGTCATTTTTTAAAACAATTAGTCTATTCTATTATCATCATATTCAAAAAAAAAACCTCCATCAATGTCAAACTCTATATATATATGAGAAAATCTTTTGTGAACTATTCTAATAAACAAAAAAAAATATAGCGAATTGATTTTATATTCCAATGTGATATTTTTCTCAGTAATGTCTTTCATATCTAAATTAAGACATCATTCGATAGATTAAGTCCATCAGATATCTAATCATCTATTTTATTTTTAGATTGAATTCTCTATTTTTTTTCCTTTGTTTCTCTTTGTAATTGGATGAGTAGGTGACGTGTAAAACAAAAAAGTATATATTAAAATGAATAAAGAAATTTTAATCGATGTCGGTTCACAGTTGGAACATATACGTACGTATCCACTGCTTGATACATGTCATTATTTGTTAGCAGCATTACAAGTTCGGGATGATATACAACAACATCAACCAGGTAAAAATTCATAAAACTTATTTCATAGATTATTTCAAATAGTCTCAAAAAATATTTAGTTTAAAATATTGCTTATAGAAGAAATTAATATGATAAAACCTTTTTTGTTTTGTTTTTACTTTTAAATGTTTCATTACAAATCTACTTCTATTTTTTTTTTGTCTTTTAGCAACACAAAATTTTACACGTCGTCATCCCTTATCATGTTGGTTATCAACAATGTTACTTTGTTTTTCTGGTTCAATTTTATCAAATTTTTTACTTGGTGAAAGTCCAATAAAAGATTTTGCTCATCATCAACATCTTTTACTAGCAACAATATGTTGGTATCTTGTATTTTATTCACCATTTGATATAATAACACGTTTATTACGATTTATACCTATACGAATATGTGTTGGTGTTGGAAAAGAAATTCAACGAACAAAAAAACTTTTCGATGGAGTTCATACAACATTAGCTATTTATCCTGATGCCTATATTATTGTCATTATTATTGGAGCTATAAAAGGTCAAGAATAGAAAAAAAAGAAGCAATTGCACATATTGAAATTAGATTAATTTAATCATTCTGTCTTCTTTTTTTTAGGCTGTGGTGGATCAATTATGTCATCAATTGATCGATTTATTCGAGGTATTTGGTTACCTACACAACATGAATTTCTTTTTCCAACTTTGTAAGAGAAAAAAAAAAGATTTTCGACTAATTTAATTTTGTGTTTTTATAGAATTATAGTTTTCTATGGAGAAAGGATATTGAATTGATAAAATAAGATTATTAGAAAAGTTTAAAAAGTTTTAAAATTACAAATATAATAGTAAATAATAGAGTCATTAGTAGTTTTGACTGTATTAAGATAGAAAAGCTGTTGCTATCGAAAAGGTCAATATGTATATTGCCATATTTATCAGTAAAAGGGTAATAGAATGTGTCACAAAACTGTGTCAGGATATATATTTTTACGGTTAACAACAAAAGCTTTTATATTGTTTGAATTCAAATTGTAATCTAAGTTACTAAATAATCTTGAGATGTTTTGTTTTTCATATATCATCTACATGGATATATATATATATATAAGCTTTTATTTTATTTTCATAATCTTAGTTAAACCATTTCCAATCATTCTTCAATCCATATATACTAATTTTCATATAATTACAATTTTTTTTTAATAATTTCATTTGAGTTCAGCCTAAATATAAATTTGTGATTTGATTTTTATACATCCTTCCGCTATTATAATGAATGCTGATTGTTAACACTAATACTATCAATTGATCTAGTATGACAGTCAGATATATAACAATCTGTGAGCAAATGAAGCTTTCAAAAATTGAAACAATTATCAATAAATTGAATATAAACTCTTTTCAAAAGCAAAATAATCGAATAGAACATCTTCTCTCTAATATATAGTGCTAAATTAAAAGATCAACATTAATTTCTATATTTGAATAATTGTTTTCAAATCTTGTAATATTTATTTTATCTTAGTGCAACAAAAGCTTGTTTTATATCTGCAACAATCTTTTTACTCGAACATATTCGTATAATACGATTTGAACGTGAATTAATTTATTTATGTGTTGCTTCAATGTTTATATATGTACGCCTAATTACAATATTTTTTAAACAATATGATCCTTTAATGCCATTTGAAAATCTTTCATCTGGTTTATTATTCAATAGTTGGTCAGAAACAATTGTAATTAATATTATTATTATTATTTGACTTAATGTTTTTATATTATTGAATTCCTATTTTTTTTTATATTTAGTCTGATGCATATCGACGCGCAACAGTTGCTTCGTCGCCGACAAGTACAACAAATATATCAACACCGCAACAAGCAACAATAATACCGGCTGCTCTGACACCACTCACAGCAACAACAACATTGATGGTTTCGAAAAAAGAAACAAACAATCCTGATGGACAAATGAAAGGACTTGATGTGAAAAAACGAGATTAAAAAAAATCGTTTTTTATCTATTTTTTGTTTCGTATAACAACGCAAAGAGGAAAAAAACACATGAATCTCATCCTACTAATTCTCATTCTTGTAGATTTAGCTACTAACCTTTTCATTTCAAATTCTTTTTTTTTTCTTATGTACACGCACATATTTTATATTTGTCATACGGTGCACTTGGACATGATCAAAATAAAAAAAAAAAGCAGAAATGAAAAATGTGTTTAAAAAAAATGATTACCAAGGCAAATACTTGAAATTCAACATTTGGGAAAACACTTTTGTGTATATGAAGACGAAATTAATAAAAATAGACTCTATGGAATCCTGTCATAAAGTACATTTAAAAAAAAACAAGCAATTATTGATGACACAGATATTTTTATAAATCAATTTTGAATTTGCGTGAGTTTGCGTGTATACGATGACCTATGATTTGCTAAACGATCGGTAAGTATCATCGAAAATATGATAATTTTTTCGAGAAATAATACTAATAAACAAAATGATGCATTATGAATTTCATTTTCTAAAAGTGAATATGACTACAAATAAATTGCAGTTAAATCGTTTTTTTTTTATTTTTAAAAATCGGTAGTCTACGAAAGAATTTTTATTTCTTAGTTCTAAGAAGAGCTTCACATTTGAAAATATTCAAATCACTAATTTTTTATACTACAAATGTATTCTTCAAGAGACCCTGTCTAAAAAGCTTCTAGCACAATCCTTAGAATATCAAAATGTGAAACATGATGAAGCTACTGTTGTTAAACACAAGAAGATTGTTTTATTCTATCTATTTTGGGACATATTCCATAGTCCTTCACCATCCTTTGACGTGATCCTCCAGAACTACAATAAGAAAATACTTCATGTATTAGAGCGAGCGGTTATTGATAAACGGGTTTTGATTATATGTGAAAAACATCTGTCACGATAAGTGAGCGTGTAAATTTCTACTCTATGTGCTTCAACACTTCTATTACATCATGTTTCACAAAAGCCAGACTTTAACATAGTACATGAAACTTTCTACAGATGTCCGACCCATGAGAAAGTAAATTAATAAAAAAATTTCATATCTCCATACCTTGTATTTCAAGAGTTTTCTACAGATTAAGATATGAAATGGACCAGCTACCCGTACAAACTCTTTTGTGAAACACAATCTAAAAGAAGTGTTGAAGTATATAGGAGTGAAATTTGTATCTATCCTGTCCTCGTCGCTCAAAGACTGTGACAAACACCTTGGCTATTTGTATACTTCATCGTGCAGAACTGGATATTATATTATTTGGAGGAGAAATATTCATCATTTTGGATAAGGAAAAGGATTCTTTATATTTTTATTTTCAGAGACTGTAAAAACTTCTAAAACCTTAGAATACCAGAAGAGATTGTGCAGAAAGACGAGATTTTCTATAGAATTAGAGTCTAAATTAAAAAATCTTTTTTCCTCATCCGAAAGGGTATCAAGTGTGCAATTATTATAAAACCAGCTGTATTCTAGAACAAGACACATTGAAAATGAATTTGCGTGAAAATTAATTGCTGACAAAAAAAATCGTTCTTGAGAAAACACAGCAAGTTTTTTTTCTGTATTGTATCCACCCATTATCGGACATCAATATGAAACATGATCACATTGTATATTAATTGCTAAAATTTATCAAAGTTTGTAAGACTGTACTCCTCCTGATACAAACAAAAAAATTAGCTTTGCCTAAACTCCTTTAAGGATATGACCATAGAACACTTTAGAAACTTTAAATTCATTTCTTTGAAACCTTTCAAAACCAAATTTTTTTTTCAGAAATATCTAAAGTATCTGTGTGTGCTTATCTCAAAAATCTTTTCTGCTGCTGGCGAACGTGGACTTTTTGATAATAGCAGACCTCGTAACAATCATTTTCATTAATTAATCAAACGAAGAAATTAGTAGTACCAATAGGACTGATGCATATTATGAATAGTCGACGTTATAAAATGATAACCTTCTTTCCTTCCTATCGAAATATAAACATACAGTAAAGAACAAACAAAGTTCTGATTACGATTCCGTGACTAAACACTGTGATAAGAAAAGTGAAAAGAGAAGATTCCATTGTCCCCATTTGTAAAAGCTGATTATTTTTTTACCAAAAATATAATTAAAAGCGCATTATGGAAGGATTTTTTTTCTTTTCTATACAAAAACTCAATGATATTATTGATTATGATGAGTATATTTTTAGGTAAGTAAAGTCAAAAAAACATCTTGATATTATGAATTAAGCTTCTTACCTCTGTGTCACGTTCAAATTAATCTAGATAATTTTCATTGATGAAAAAAACATATACTTTCTTATTTCTATGTCTTTTTAAGGAAAAAAACATCCTTGTTTTGAAATTTATTCTTACTAAGAATGTATCGATTTTTGTGGCAAACGACTGTTTTCTTTTGAAAATTCAATATCGTGACAGAGATACATGCTTTTCGGTTGAAACTCAGAATATTCTACTATTCACTCGCTGTATTTAAGAGCGAAATTGCAGATTGGGATATCATTATTTGATTTTTCAGTAAGTACCCAAAGCTGGATCGAAAATTCAGTAAAATGACTGTAGCTTGGCTTCAGAAACTCATAGGCACAAATGTTTTTAGGATTTTTCTAGTATGATCGAAACCTCCATGTGAATCCACTATGAGCTCAAATCGCGTATCAGTTTTGGTAGTTCCCTCGTTAGCCGTTTCTACATAATTCCGATCACAGGCTTTCTGCGATAAAGATTTTTCTAACTAGTTTCAGAAAATCCATAAATTCAAAAAGAATTTCATGTCAACCCTCGACCCAAGTTTAGTATATATAGAAATTATTATATTTATTACACATAGACATTCATGCATTTTCATATAACCAAGAAGAATTTTCTAGTCTTTAAGATATTGATTATATGAGAACTTCAAAGGTTCGGAGATTATAAGAAAGTTCCAGAAATTACTGCGATTACCAAATTTTTTCAAGGGCCGAGTATTCATCTTAATATTGAAAAACACTTATATCTATGTTAAATAAATGTATAGCAATTTCCTAGAATTGATCAACATTGGACATGACATTTTTTCATATATCAGTGTTTTCAAGAATTTTTTAAGAACCTTTATGTTATTTGTTTTTATTTTATCCAACACAATCTAAAAAGAATCTTGAATTATTGCAGTAAATATTCGGATAGCTCCTTTCATAGGCCATGACAAACGTTGTTTATATACAATCAAAGACCGTATATCAATAGTGTATCGTAATTATAAATGAACTACTTTTTTATGGCACTTCGGAAGGATTAAGTAAAAGTAATTAACAAAATTAGCCACATCATGTCTTGCATTTTAATCTCGCACGCATTGCGCTAATAGATTTTTTGGAACATAATCAGAAATTTTGTTTTTGGAGAATGATAATAATAGAAATTATATAGAAGTCGCTTCCTAAGTTTTGTAATTTCGAGACTCTGTTGAAAATTTCTTTGTAATGTTAGAGGAAGTTTTGTAGTATCTGATTAGTTTACCTCGACATTCATGACCAGTTTTGATAAATTCTTATTCTATGTTTGAAATTTTCCATTAGTTTTCAAGTTAATTCTTTTCGAAACTTGAAGGCATCTTGGTGGACTTTTTCTATCAGCAGTGAAGTTTTCAATTTGAAGATTTTAAAAGCGTTAGGAAATACGCCGTCAAAATATATTTTGTTTTTTGTACTTTCATTTGTTTTCGTTATATGATTTTTAAATCTTTTGCAAATGTTCATCTTATTTTTTTTAGATAACAGTTTTTGAATATCTACAAGAGAGAATAGTTTGATTTTTGTTTGTCACATCTCTTGAAAGCATAATAAATTGAATTATGTGAACTAACAGACAATCATTTTCTAATAGTTATAGATTGCTGATTTAAATTATCTCAAAGTTATCTGTATTTTCATAATCTCCTTTTTTTGAAATGTTCCCATGAAAGATCATTCTGCTCACAGTCCTTATTTACTTAAGAATCATGATATTTTTTTTTTCATACTTATGATAAGATATTCCATATGGAAAAAGTTAAAAGAACGTGTTATGCTATTCAAATTAGAAAGTGACAGAAAGTGATCATTGTAAGAACTTTGAGAATTCGTCAACCATACAGAGAATGATTATTAAAAACAGGAAGTTGATTATTTTTCAATTAAGACATATCAAAAGACAATGAGAAAGTAAACGTCAAAAATTAGAACTTCTCAAAAACGGCAAGAATCATTTTTTTTTTCATAAAGTACCAGTTTATCGTCATCTGCAGTATGTAAAGCAACACATTAAATAGATTACTTTATAGCATCTCATTATGTAGTTTTAACTCTCACTATCAACAGCTAAATAGAAATCATTTATCAAATGAAAAAAATGTGGTCATATGAATATTAATAAGTATACCTGACGAGTTACTTTCGAAAAATAGTTACGTAAACAATATCATTATTTTATCAGGTTTTTTTTGTTGCACTCAGAGTTTAGAATCAAAATCCTGTGAATTTGATTAACTTAACAGAAATATAAACAAATTTTTATAACCATAACACAGATGGACCAGAATAAATGGGCGTCTTTTGAATTTTATTGTTTCTATTATTTAATACGTTTTATAGAAAAACACAATATACAACAAGATACGGCGTTACACCAATACCCTCAACTAGTGAATCATAGTTTTTAATTTTATTACATTAAAGTTGTGTGGTATTTATTTAGCACTTTGAACCAATATCATATCATCATGAATCATTCGTAAGTCCACTTCTCCTAGGTTTTCAGATTTCATGTCTTTTTATTAACTGACACACTCATACAAATAGGATTTGCTATTATGACGTTCGTATGTTTCTCTAACAAACAAAATCAGAGTAATTAATATATAATCAGTCTAATATCAGCCATCGATAATGACCTTCAATATCATTCATTAATAGAAGAAATAAGTAAAGGGA